TTGACAACTACAACAAATTCTTCTCCGAAGTTAAATCCAAAGTGAAGGTTTACTATGAGAACATCGATGCGCTCATGACGAACGAAGAAGGCTATAACAAACTCATTGAAATGGGAATGGTCGGTGAAAAGATGGGTCAATTCAAATTGGACAAAATTTTCACCGAAGTTCATGTCCTCTCCAAGCGTAAGTACTGGGGCATACTTGAAGACGGCACAGAAATAAAACATTGCATGAAATAAAAAATTTTTATTCGAATTTGAATCGGACAGGTCGAGTTACACCATTCTTGGTCTCAAACTCATATATAACCTGTTTGTCTGTATTTTCGTCGACTATGGCACGAGACACGAACATTGACCAAACGGACAAAAAGTGTCATTTCGGATGGTCCCGCAGCCAATCGCATTCGAGCACTTCGAAGAAGCCTTACGTTCCAAGGGAGAGGGTGTCTGGTGCAAGGCAGAGGTCATGAGACTCTACGAGCAGTACATCCTCAATGCCTGGGAGGACAAATCGTCCTTGGAATGGCAATTCTACCAACTCCTCTGGGACGACCTCCTACGCAACTGGGATGACGAAAGAGTCCAATTCAGAGGTCAGGAACTACTTGTCCAAATTATCCTTAATTTAAGCCGCTTACGCAACTAAAAACTTAAATTTACTCGGGGTTTCCCCCTAAAATAAAATTTTTTTACTCTTAGAACCACTCGAGGTTCTCCTTACGGTTGTTGAGCTTGTCACCGTCAATGTGTCTGACCTTCGTCCTCTTGTTTGGATTTGGAACCCATTGAATTGCGACAAGCTTGCCCATGGAGATTGAACCGTAATTCCGAAGGGTAAGGTTCAAGTGTCCCAAGTTGTTGAGAACTGGGGTAAGAACCTTGCCGGTCTCCTTGTTGCGGATTTGGTATGGGTAGGGTTGGGAAATTTCGTAAGTGTCATCGGCAACAAGGGTTGCCCAAACTTCCTCTTCTTCGTGTTTCTCTTCTTCCTCTTCTTCCTCTTCCTCTTCTTCGTGTTTCTCTTCTTCCTCGACAATTCCTTCGGCAATTCTGTGTTCACGAAGTACGGTGTTGGAGGTTCTGTCCTTTCCGAGTACCTTCCAGATGGCGTCTATCTCTTCGAAGAAACGGTAGATGAGTCTGGCAAGGTCTCGGTTCTCTCTCGCGTAAATGCGCAAGGTTTCCGTCAAATCGTTCAGGACTTTCTCATTGGAAGCTTGGTTCATGAGGAACTCACCTTTAAGTCCCTTCATCTCTTCCATAAGACTACTTTGGAGAGTCTTAACGGTGTTTGTCAGATGAGCTTTCAAATTCAAAATTTGAATTTGAACTGGGCGCTTGTCTGGCAACATTGAAAGGACATCTTCCATTGTGTTCGGCTTCGGTGCTTGTTCGGACATCGAAAAAATGAAGTGGTTTGAGAATGACGGTTTTACTTCAAAAAGCTTGTTATGACGGTTAAGTCATACAACAAGTTTAAAATAATATCTTGTTCTTCTTCTGAACGTTTGTTGTCTCTTCCGATAAAAGTTTCGAACATGAGAACCAAAAAACGTTTTTTGAGATTGCGGAAGAGTTCAGGCAAACGTTCATATTCTGGATATGTTGGGAGCAGTTCAAAACATCTGAGCTGACTTTCGGACAAAATTGGGACAATGTCAGAAAATTCATCTTTGGTCGGACTGCTTGAAGGTAAGTCCCTTACATGTAAGTAGCTCTGGTAAAGTCTTCTCATTTCTGCTAACTTTTGGAGTATAGCTTCGTAGTTTAGAAGTTTTAATTTTAATTGTCTTATTCCACTCTTTACTTCTAAACGGTAAGTATCCATGAGGTCAAGAGTAGCTTTGGTAGCTTTAAGTGGAGCTATTTGTTCCTTGACTTCTGCAATTTTGGTTGCAATTGTGGTTTGAGCTCCTTCAAGTTCGCCGTCTATGTCGTTCTCAACACCTTCAACCATAGCTTGAAACTCTTCATCGGTCCATTGAGTTTGGTGTGGGACGAATTTAACTTGCTTCATTCAAAAAATGAAAAAAATGTTTTTACTCAAAGCGTGCCATGTATATGGCTATAAGAAACTTACCAGAAGGCTTCTTCTTCACATGAGTCTTCGGCAACTTGAGAGTTCTTGTTGGAGTTGGGTCTGGAATTTCAATTCTCTCTCGAGCGCAACAACAGATGTCAGAATAACATTCCCCACTGTCTTTCTTGCCACCATAAATTGTGTATTGACCGAACTTGCATTTGCAGGAAGACCGGTCAATACAAGGTTCACAGTTGAAATAGTTGTACACAAACCTGTTGAGTACGAGTGTGAGTAAAAACATAAAAAAAGTGAAGTTAAAATGAGATGTTTACTGAATTGGTTGGATGTCGCCTTCTGAGGTTATGAAGAACGGCTGTCCAGAGTAGTGAAGTAGTGCTCTGAGAATTTGTGTAATTCGTGGAATTGGGCTCTCACGATATGGAAGTAGTATCCAAGGACGTTTCATGAAGAACTTCAAGAGGGCTTCTTTCTTCACATCCTTAATATCATCGAATGCAGTGCCTTCTGGAACTTGAATTGCAACACCTGTTTCAATTTCCAACTTTAAGACACTATTCTTGGACAACCAGAAGCCAATGGACTTGCTTGGTTTGCACTTGCTGAGATATTCCTTCACGGTTTCATTTACCTCAATTAGATAAATTGCTTCGTCTAAGGGGTCAAGCTCCATACTGAGTCAGTACAATATTGTACTTTTTCAAGACAATGTTGTACTTTTTCAAGACAATGTTGTACTTTTTCAAGACAATGTTGTACTTTTTCAAGACAATGTTGTACTTTTTCAGAACAATGTTGTATAAATTCAGTACAATGTCTCTCAAATTTGAGTACGGCTGTACTTTTTCAGAACAAGTCTTGAACTTTTTCAGAACAATGTTGTACTTTTTCAGAACAATGTTGTACTTTTTCAGAACAATGTTGTACTTTTTCAAGACAATGTTGTACTTTTTCAAGACAATGTTGTACTTTTTCAAGACAATATTGTACTTTTTCAAGACAATATTGTACTTTTTCAAGACAATATTATATTGTTTCAGAACAAAGACGGTTAAGACACAAACGAATGTCCGACGTCCCACCTACTGAACCCGTTCCACAGCCAGAAGAACAGCATGCTCCAGCACCACAACAGGTTCCACCTCCACAAGGCTCCCCACAGCAACCTCAGTTCCAACAAGGACCTCCGAATTACTACCAATTTCCACCTCAAGGTTACTACCCACCACAAGGCTTTCCAAACTACCCACCACAAGGCTTTCCAAACTACCCTCCTCAACCCATGCCTTACTTCCCTAACCCTTGGATGTTCATGTCAAACCCTCCACCCCAATTCAAATTCCAATCTCAGTCCAAGAGAGACCAAGAGTTCGAAGAAGGTCTGAACCGTTTACGCAAAGAGTATGCCACAGCCCCTATGGAAGAAGACAGGCTCTCACTCTCTTCCCTCAAATCGACCGATTCGACTCGTACCACAGATTCGGTTCGTGACCGTGAAGACTACCTCAAGCAGTCTGAGAGACTCTTCATCCTACAACCATTTACAACTGGAGCTCTCAAGAACATGCGCAATTACGAAGGTCAGACACCAGCTGGAGACCGTAAAACAGACGTACTCGCAAGAGCAGTCCAACTGGTCAAGACAAAGACCGAGATAGTCGACTTCATTCTTGCAGCTTGCCCATACAAGTAAAAAAATAAACAATTACGAGTTAAACTTTTTATTCTTTCTTTTCTGAGTTGTTTAGAGCTGGTTTCTCTTGTAGAAACCTTTCGTACTCTTCCATGGTCATGTAATTGCGAATTTGGTACGCAATTCCAGGTTCGTTGTTTTTGAACCTTACGTATGTAACGCTTCCATCCTCCTCAGGGAAGTAAGCTGCTAACATCTGACCAAGTTTTCTCGGTGACTCGGAGCTCATAAAAATGTCACTTTTTAAACGTTAAGTTTTTAGTCTTATTTTACCCTTTGTTTACCCTTTGTTTGTCAAGGTAGTATTGGAGTGCAATTTCTCCAAATTCTCTGTGTCGGAGTTCTTCAGCATTTTCCAAGGTGTGCCTGGAGAACTCAAAGAAGTTGTCAAGAAGATACTGCCATGCTGCTCTTCTGAGTTCGTCGGTATTTTGGAAGTGTTGCACCTTCGAGTCTTCGGACATGAAAAAATAACACTTTTTCAGCAAAAATAATGTTTATGTTAGAATGTTAGATCTAACATGTTTTCTAACACGTTTTCTAACATGGTCTAAAACTCTTGAATTTTCATGAGTTTTCCCGAAATAAAAAATAAAGTTGGTTTTTTTAAAAAAATATTTTTTTATTTTGTATAAAAAATATGATTTCAACAATCGGCACAACAACAGTTCAAACAACTACAGCACCAAACTCGTTAGTTATGAATCCAACATCTATGTTGGTAGAGATGAAAAACTTCATTCCTTCTTCATATACTTTCGAAACAAAAATCCAGAAGATAAAGCAAGAACTTTTAACAAGTAATTTAGACTGTAGTGCGAAAGATGAAACAAATGAACAGTATCTTTATGAAATGCAGGACATTATTGACCATTTACCCAAATTGCCTGAAATCCAACAACAAAAACTCACTATTCCTGAATTCGACGAAATTGAAGTTAAAGTTACTGACTCAGTAGAAATAAAGAAGTTCATACGAAAGGTAAACTATGAGTTTCTAGGATTTCATTGCAACCATAAGGTTATGGACAAAGATTGCGACATGGTATATAAGAACATCTCTGACCTTTACAAATCCGAAGAATTTAAGACCTACGACAACTTTGTTTCATTAGTTGCAAAATGTGTTTGGGAAATAAGAGATAAAGATAGAAGAGGTAAGGTATGGAACGAACAAATAAGACCCGCTATGTTCGAGATGAAGAGAGCAATTGACGCCTTAGTTGTTTTAGCAGGTAAGGTTTCAGAATATAACGCAAAAATGAACCCGCAATGTTCTAAATGTAAAGCAGCAATGAGGAAATATAACTACTCAGTCAAAGAGATAGAAAGAATGAGAAACGACTATGCAGACTTAAAGAAAGAAGCAGAAAAGCCAGCAGAAGATAAAATGAACATGTTAGCATTTCTGAACAAAAACTATCCAACTGCTGACGATTTCCTTCTATCTGACGTCAAGAAGAAGTATAAAGAAACTTTCGGTATCGTTAAAACATTCGATGTACTGACAGAAGAAATAGAAGCTACGAAATTGTTTAGAGTCATGAACCATCGCAACATATACCATGTAAAACGCTTGTAAATAGTTATGTTAGAAAACATGTTAGAAAACATGTTAGATCTAACATTCTAACATAAACATTATTTTTATTGAATTCCGTATGAAATTTCATGAATTTTGTATGTTTTAGACCATGTTAGAAAACATGTTAGAAAACATGTTAGATCTAACATTCTAACATAAACATTATTTTTATTGAATTCCGTATGAAATTTCATGAAGAACAGCGAGTAGTGAAAAAACCCTGGTCGCCAAAACTCTTTATTTTTCAAGCTTGACTTTTTACAATTTGAACTTTGTTTGCGTAGATATGAATTCTGAAAGAAGTATGAGGGTCTTGTATGACTTTGTACTTCTCCCATAGTTCATGTCTGTCAAACTTACCTGCCATGGACTCTTTCATAAGTTCCATGAAATCGTCTTCGGACAATCCAGGGAAAAGTATGATATCAGTAAGTATTCTCTTTACATCCTTACTTAAACTCTTGGCTGTCTGTACACAAATGACAACTGAAATGTTAAAGTGTCTGAGCTTCTTGAGAATTCGACACATGTCTTGTTCTCTGTTCTTTAACAAAGGATGAGAAGCAAAGTCATCTAAGATAAGAAGACATCTATGAGGGTAAGTCTTCCAATCGTAAGATTGCAATTTCTTCGAAATGTATTCTATCTCTTTCTGTTTGTTTCTGAAGTGTTTCTTCTCTAATATTCTCTGCATTTCCTCATTTGGGTCTTTAAACTTCGAATTGACATACTCATTTATAGCATTGTACTTCAAAACTCTTCTTTGGTACTTCTTTATCCAATCTAACAACTCAGAGTCTTTTATACATACTAACTTAGACTTCTTTATAATATCTTTGAACGAATTGACGGTTTGGTCAAATTGACCAGAAGTACTACAAATGACAACTAACTCATAGAATGGGTTCTTCTCATCTAGTTCTTGTTGTTGTGCAGCCATTTTAAGATAAGTGAAAGTCTTACCCGACCCAGGTGGTGCAATTAGACCTGTTATACCATTCTGAGCAAATAAGAACTTGTCATGTATAGGCTTTATCTGAGCATTTTCTAACTTCCTCTTGTTCTTGTTTAAAACATTCTCAAATTTCTTGTCAATGTCAGCAAACTTTTTTTCTAACATATTTTTAGAAAAATTAAAAAAAATTTTATCTTTTTTTTTATGTCTAGCGATTTCGCTATCTATATTCGAGACAAACTTTTCGACAGCAAAACATCTGTCGACCATAAAATCTTACATAGTGTCAACAAGAAAGGTGAATTTGTTCTAAAGTTCTGTTTCTGGGAATATGACAAGAACCATAAAACATTAAGCAGAGAAGTCTTTAAGTTTGTCAATGACAGACTTGTTGACAGAGATGACGCCGATTGGAAAGATGAAGTCCAACAAAAGTTCTTAGAATGCAAAGAAGACACATGCGCTGTTCTTGAAGATGAAATAGAAAACAGAATAGAAGAGCTATTAAAGGACAAAGACCTTTTACATAAATATGGTTGCGCCAAATTTGACATAACTCCACCAGAGAAGAAGAAGAAGAAGAGAGAAAAGAAAGAAAAGAAAGTAGAAGAAGAGAAGAAAGAGCCAGAGCCAGAGCCAGAGAAAAAGAAATTTGACATGTAAAAATAAAATTTTATTTTTAGAACATTTCTGGGTCAATGTCAATGTTCTCTTCCTCTTTAGGAGCAAACACTGGTTTAGACTCTAAAATCTTTTTACCCAATTTACCTTGAACTTCAACTATCTTAGACTCATAATATTCATAGTCGTCTGCTTTCTTTGGTTCATAAGGTATAACAAGTTTGTATGCTTTGCCTTCTTTAAGGTTTGAAAACCTTCTGTCAAAATTTTCTTTGACTGCTAACAAACCTTCTATGTCTAAGTCTTCAAATTTCGCACCATTTTTAGTCACAATAGCAAACTTAACTGGTTCGATGTTCCAAACTTTGTCAAATGTAGACTTTTCAAAATGGTAGAAGTAAACATTCAAATAAGCGAATGGGTCTAGTTCTTCTTTGACTTCTGTCATGTACTTGTTGACTGAAATATATTTCGTCATCTTTTCTATCGGATAAAAAAATATTTTTTTTTAAAACGTTTTAAAATGGTATGCCATATAGCTTCTTGAATTTGTTAAGAAATAGTCTAACGTATTTTCCATCTGTATCTCTAGCGTATACATAAGCATAGTCTGCCTTAGTAAAACATACTTGTAATTTTCTATAGTTTACGCCGGTATAAAAGTAGAAAGAGTCCTGTTCTTCGCTGTAGTAGTAAAACTCAAACGTATGCTTGCCATAGTCTGTAATTTCAATTGCTTCATCTTCTAGTTCGTCGACAAATTCGAATACTATATCTCCAAATTTGCTTTTGTTCTTATTGTTTTCAGAACCAGTGACCCAACGTAAGTTTTCAAGTCTATTGTCGTTTCTTATACGGTTTATATGGTCTACAAAAGGTAAATTGTTAGGATTCAGTATAAAATGAGTTGCAATGACAACATGTTTAAGATAGTGTTTTCCACCCATCTTCATATCAGCATATCCGTCATTTCGCTCCCATTCGCTTAAAACTCTTTTTGTCTTTTTGTTTCTGACTTCAAATGACTCACAACAGTGAATTTCATATTTCTCATCTAACAAACAAGTTTCCCAACGGTCTTCTCCAACAAACTCAGCGTACATTTCAAATAAAATAAAAATATTTTTTTTTAAAATTTACTCAGAAAAAATTTTCTTTGTATATACACCATTCTGAACATCTAAAAGACTTTTGACATTTGCCAAGAATGTTCGTTTAGACGCTGTCATATAACCATATTCTTGACAATATTGTTTATACGAATCGTACAATGACCTTTCATCTAAACACTCAAAGTCAGTTTCATCTATGAACAGTTCATATACACTCTTGTTTGCTTCTAACAATGTTTGTCTCTCTTCGGTATGTGGAATTTGTCTTGGATTGAACTTTGAAATATCTAATGTCATAAAATATGAGAACAAGTGGTTGTAAAAGTCAGTGTCAAAGTTTCTGCTAAGTCGTCAAAATATTCTGTATCTTGCATATGAGAATCTGACGTTCTGACAACTACATATCTTCTGTCAGAACTTTCTAACTTCATCGGAACAGCATTGTTTGAAACCATAATGAAGTTTGCAACATTTTCACAAACTCTTTGGTCTTTATATTTTCTTTCAACAACTCCAACTTTGTCTGTTATAAGACTCTTCAAAGCATCTGAGTTCAAAACTTTTGTTGTATCTATACTTTGAAGTTCATTACATACTATAAGTTTCATATTCTCTATTGAGAGTTAAACTTGCCACAGATGTTTTCTAAGTTTGTCATATTCGGATTCGAATAGCCCTCTAACAGTTTGCAAAATATCTGTAAAGAAAGTGTTCTTACCTGTTCCTTGTTTTCCAATTATGATGAGAGCAGTTTCATTTTTAGCACTTGGATGTTGTAAGATGTTTGCAAACCAACATAAGATATACTCATAGACTCTTTCGTTTCCATTGCATATAATTTCTTTGACATGGTCTAACCAAGCTTCTATAACATTTTCTTTCCATTCTACTTGTTCGTATTTATATCCAGTGAAGATAGAATAGAAGTTTGGAGATGGTGTATAGAACTTTATACCACGAACTGAAAAATCTTCTAACTTTGACAATAAGATATCCCAAGCATCTAACATCTTCATACCAACTTGTACGACTTTTATTTTCTTAAGTTTCTGTCTACATTCTTGTTCTGAAACTATTGTTGCTCTTGGTTTGTTAAAGACAACATCCCATTCTTTCATGACATAACATTCTGGGGCAGAGTCGACATAAATGACTAAACGTTTCAAATTCTCGACTGCTTTGTTATAGTCTCTAAATGGACACATATTTCTGAACGCTTGGAAGTCATAAAAATCTGAAACGTCTATTCTGTACATTTTTATAAAAATAAAAAAAATATTTTTTTTATTCTTGACTTTGTTGTTGCATTTGTTCCATTTGTTGCATTTGTTGCATTTGTTGTTCTTGAGCTATTTGTTGTTGAAGTTGTTCTTGTAGTACAATACTTTCACCAGTTGCATCTTCCAATTCGAAACTTTCTGCCGTCATTGACAAATACATAGGACATAAAAGTTTTACAGGAACAAAGTTTGCGTCAACTAAGGTTAAGTTTATGTTTGCTAAAGTGTTTGAGTTTACTAAAGCTGAAAACTCTGCATTCGAATGAACAATAGGCAAACCAGCAGAGAAAGTGTTGTTTATACGCATGAGTATCTTTTGGTCATAGTAGTTTCTGTCGACATTCGAATAGCACTTTGAACCTAAGTTTGAAACAATATATAAAATAGGTGTACTTAAAGTCAATGGAACAGACAAACCTTGTATGACACCTTTTCCTGTTATAGGAAACTGTTGGTAGTAAAAACCAGATATAAGTTTTGTATTATAGCTCATATCGTTTATACTAAACTCAGTCGGACATCCAAACATAATGAAACCTGCTCTAGTTGCAGCACATGTTACATCCGTCCTTAAAGTATTAAATAAGTCAACAAAACCTGTTGGTGGTATATCTGAGTAAGTATCTTCAAAGAAGTATTTTTTACCATTCACAACAACAAAGTCTTCTGGTGTCAAAAGAGCAAAACAGGCTTTAGTCGTCATCGTGTTTAAGGTCAGTTTACAATATCGTCCTTGAGGACTTTGTAAGTTTGTTGTTATAGAATTATATGACTCAGGGTTTTTAGTCGTAATAGTATAAACCACTATGTCTTCTGCCATTTACTTAGCAAGTAAATTTTAATGAAATGTTGTGGTCGTCAAATATTTTTATGACGTCTGGGAAACTATATTTTAAGTTCAACGTTTCACCTCCTTTCATAACGTATATCTTGTCAATGACATTATATGAAACACCACAGCAAGCAATGTCGGGTTCTATTTCTTTGATGTTTATATCGTCTGCCTCTGTCAAAAGTTTCAATAGTTCTTTCAAAATTTCATGAGGTGCGATGACATATGAGTTCACTTTTACAGGGTTGTGTTCGACCAAGTTTAACATTATACCCAAAGCTTGACAAATCTTCTCCTGAGTTTTAAGTTTGTCTTTAAGTTGTTGGTAGTCGTTTCGAATATCTGCAACAGAACTTAAGTCTCTGCTAACTTCAGGGTATGTTGGTTGTTCTTTTACAGGAACTATTGTTATACCATCTTCGTCTTCGTATGGTTTCCCCACTTCAACATCTCTTTCTTTGACATTGACAACAACACTTTGACTGTTTGTTTGAGTTGGTGAATTTAACTTCACATCTGCCACCGCCATTAAACCTTTTGAAACACTTACGCTTCTATTTTTCGGAAATGACATTTTACTTAGAATAAAAAGATGGACGTATTCGAGTATCTCTTCGAATTGAAGCAGAACAAAGTTTACACACACAAACAATACAAATACATTGACAGAATAGTTCTTTATACAAACAATGGTAAATGTTATAGAATAGCAGTCTTTGCTGAACCAAAATATTTTCATAAAGCAAAGAAAGTTGGTATAACTGAAATGGTGAAAGTTCTTGAAGCAGACAAAAATATAACAACAAAACTGACCGATATTTCTAAAGGTAAGTTTATAATACAATACTATGTCAAAACTGGCGTACTGTCAATATTTGACGGAGAGAAGTCAGTTCAAGAACAACTTACTGACCTGCTGCCAAAATCTGCTCGATGGAAGCTGTCGTTATGCCAATCTGAGGAGCCCCAGCAGGTTTCATCGAACGAATCTTCAAAAGAGCATCTTCCGTGAAAAGTGCTATTGGTTTTGTAAACTTCTTTGCTTTCAATTCATCTGGACCGTCTCTGTCACCAGTATATTGTATTTGAACTGTACCAACAGTTGAAATACCACCCATAAAGTCTTCTGAGTCAGCAAATGGAATGCCAAGCCAAAAGTTTGAACGGTCTCCATTTGTATATTGAGTTTTTTGACCTCCTGTATGAGTCCATACTTTCACATATGGCATAATAGAACTTTGCATTTCAGGGTTAATGGTTGTTGTGAAGTTGTTGTTAAAGTTCATAGCATCTAATGTCAAGTTGTATGACCTCATATCC